AATTCCTTGGGCATCCATAAACGACTGCATCTTGATAGCCCAAGATGTATAATTTGTTGTAGTGAGTACAGGACATTGGTACGTTGTCGAGCCTCCATCTCGAACTGGGGTAACAGCAACAACATCGTTTGTTTTCTTAGTATTGATGGCCTCCATCACAGACTATTGTTTTTCAGGCGTATTGCAAGACAACTACTGATCACAGATCTGTGTTTGATGTTTTTATTTTTACCAGGGCTCTGATACCAATTGAGAGAAATAATGACAGATCTAAAGCATAGAAACAGTGTGTTTTTATTGTGGAACTGCTGTCCAGAACAATGTGCCCATACATATAAATAGAGGACTAAACAACACAACCATTACAAATAGACACAACAGTTTCTAACCAACACATCTGTTGGAAACTGTCATAAAACTGCCTGTAACTAGTAACTGCCTAACTGCCTGACTGTCTACCTTTTTTTTTTTTTTACTTATTTATTTTTAAACTTAAACTATATTCTGGACTGGAATTAACCAACAAGACTTAAGAGTAGTATTAATTTCTTGTTTGTAGATTTTTACCCAAACTTTAATGTTTTCTCATCCAAAGCGTAGGGCGGTCATTTTATTCTTTTTGTAAAGATGAAGTTCTTTGGGTTTATGTATAGATTCACGATGAGTTATCTAGGAATTTGATCTTCTTATGTAGACTTACTCTACCAAAATTTTACTATTTTAATTTGTATAATTTGTTCATTTGTTGTATAGCTACTGTTGCAGAACTATATATTAATCTTTTAAATTGGAAAAATGAAAGCTAATGGAAAGAGGCGGCACATTTAACTGTCTATATCTTGGCTTCAATAGGTATATTTATGCATTTTTGTTCTCTCTTTTAGTTAAGTGTCTATATCTTAGCTTCAATATATAGGTATGTTTATGCATTTTTGTTATCTCTTTTAGCCAACCATATTAATCCTTTCATGATTGTAGATTGGGAGTACTACCTGTCAAGAATGCATGCTTTATTAATTTATCTCTTTTATATACGAAGTAAATAAGAAAATATTTCGCCAAAAAAGAGTGGTTTTATAATTTTTGAAAATATTTGGGTTATTATTTGTATTTGAGTGACAAGAATTACACATTCTCTTCTACAAGAAATAAGTTGCTCCAAAAGGCATAACTTTTGAAGTCTATAACTATATGTCATTAGTTCATATAAATTTTACCATAAAAATCATAACAATGTATGGCTAATCTTTGATTATATTTTGAACTTCAAATAGCAAGAGGTTTAGCCATAATGGTTACAAGTTATATCTTTTATTTCAATAAATATATTTTTATGAAAACATGCTTAAATTTTAAAAATTAATTTTCAGGCCATGCAACACACAGGTACCAATCTAGTAAAAATGTCAAATAAAGAGTTTGAATGCAACAAAGGTAGTTTTTAATAACACATTTCAAAGAAACATAATTAACAAAATGTTTTAAATCACAATGGAATTTATAAATTAATGAATCTAATATTTTAATAATTTACGTGACTCCATAATGGTAACAGAAATTTATATATATGGCATAACTTTTAAATAATTTGTGACATTAAATCAATTTTTTATCTTATTGAGACCATAATAATAATAAATGAAAAAACCCTAAATAATTTTTTTATATTATTATTGGAAGAAATTGGAAGAAGTTGAAAGAAATTAGAAAGATTTGGAAGAAACTGGAATGAATTTGAAAAACTAGAAATAGTTGGAAGAAAATCAGGAGTTAGAAAAAATGAAAGCGTTGGAAAATGTTGGAAGTTAAGAGCTAAAACTCAAATGAACAGAGTCATCCTAAGTTTTATCGAAAAAATACAAAAATAGAAACTTCATGTTTTTATACCAAAACTAGAAGTTTATAATGAGATAATATAACATTGTATACGAAAACTTCACAATACTTTTTGACAATGTATAGAGTAATGATTGACATTGTACATGCATTTTAACATTTATTTTTAAGAAAAAAAAAATATGGAAGTCATATTTTGATACTCCCCCCGTCCCAAAAAGTTTGTTACGTTTAGAAAAAACTGCGTCCCGTAAAGTCCGTTACATTTCTAATAAAAAACCACTTTTACCCCTTATTTTTTCATACCCTACCTATCACATCATACCTTTTTCCTAATAATCTACCCATCACATCCTACTTTTACCCATCACATCAAGGGTATTTTTGGAAATTCAATACCAAAATATCCCTCCCTTAATTTCCCAAAAAGTCAAACCGTCCCATTCTTTTTGGGACGGAGGGAGTATATTTTTAATATTTTATTCTTATTTTAATCTTTACGCGTTTTATCAATATTATTGAAAAGAAAAATAGAAAGTATTCCCTCCGTCCCGGAGTATTCGTTCAGTTTTGACTTTTAGAACTGTTCATCTAAGCACTTTGACTCATCAAATTCTCTCAATGTGTAAGCCTAAATATAGTCATGTGTGATCTTGTTTGATTTGTCTTAACATATAGATTATTAATATATAATTTCTATAATTTTTTAATATACAAATTACAAGATAAAATGGATTAAAGAAGTGTATTGGATGGTGTGTAAAAATAAAAGTGGACAAATACTCTGGGACGGAGGTAGTACAAGCTAAGTAACATTTTGGGAACTTTGAAATCGATCTGTCAAGTCGATCAATGANAAAAATAGAAAGTATTCCCTCCGTCCCGGAGTATTCGTTCAGTTTTGACTTTTAGAACTGTTCATCTAAGCACTTTGACTCATCAAATTCTCTCAATGTGTAAGCCTAAATATAGTCATGTGTGATCTTGTTTGATTTGTCTTAACATATAGATTATTAATATATAATTTCTATAATTTTTTAATATACAAATTACAAGATAAAATGGATTAAAGAAGTGTATTGGATGGTGTGTAAAAATAAAAGTGGACAAATACTCTGGGACGGAGGTAGTACAAGCTAAGTAACATTTTGGGAACTTTGAAATCGATCTGTCAAGTCGATCAATGATCATCAATCATGGAAGTTGCCCACATCACTTTCAGTTCTAAATACAATGTAAAAGGCAATCCAGTTCTTAACCCACAAATCAATGTCTTCAAAAAAAAACCCACAAATCAATCCAAACAATACATTAAAAAAGAGTTAAAGGCTGGGCATGACATTGAAAGGAGTAGAAAAGAGGAGTTGTCTGTGGTTGGCTATCTTTTAGTATAGACTTCGTCACGGCTACAACAACCACTTATAACCATTTTTAGAAAACAAAAAATAATGGAGATAGGAGTGGGGTGATATGGGTTCCCATTCCCAAGAAAAAAAGGATATTTTTAAGCTCCAACCGGTTTTTTTAAACGATAGAGAACAAAACTATATACCCCTGCAAAATTTTCCACTTTATCGTATGGCTCAAAATAAATTTTCAACCTTTTTTCTTTCTCTCTTTGAAATAGACTAAGGATATCAAGATATATTAGGGTCGGTCCCATTATTCGGTAGCCCTGATGAACTAAACGAAAAAATGGATCTTAGCTCTAAGTTGAATGACATAGACTATTTATTTAAACAACAACTAATATTATACTACGTACTTGGTCCGTCTTTGAGTGTTTGTCCGCTTTTGACTTTTGGAACTGTTCATCTAAGCACTTTGACTCATCAAATTCTCTCCATGTGTAAGCCAAAAAATAGTCATGTGTGATCTTCTTTGATTCGTCTTAACATATAGATTATTAATATATAATTTTTATAATTTTTTAATATACAAATTGCAAGATAAAATGGATTAAAGAAGTGCATTGGATGATGTGCAAAAATGAAAGTGGACAAACACTCAGGGACGGAGGGAGTATATAGTAATACACATGCATAACAAAATTATAATATTTTAAATAAATGTCGTAATAGATATTTCAAAATTTAAGTTTTTAAATTTTTAATAAAAAATACAATATGTGTGTGTCTATATATATATATATATATATATATATATATATATATATATATATATATATATATATATATATATATATATATATATATATATATATATATATATATATATATATATATATAGACACACACACACATATATATATATATACACACACACACACACATGAAAAAGATGCTGTCGCTCTTGAAATCCACGGAGACTTCTCCGACGTCTCCGGCCAAGGCTTCCGGTACTCGTTCCAAACTATTCTCTAATCTCTTCAAGGCGGATGGTGTCGTCCTCAAGGATCGACCACCGGAGAAATCATGTTTCAAGGGCTGTCCATCCATCTCTTTCTCTAAGGAAGATGTAGAGCTTTTCTCCCGTCGGTTCAGATTTGCTCTCATCGGCAGATTTAGACGTCGCCCTCCACTTTTAGTCTTGAGGAGTTTTCTTACCCGACTGGGACTTGTTGGGGGTTTCACGGTCGGAGAACTCAACTCTAATGCAGTTCTTATAAACTTTGAACAAGATGAGGACTATCAACGCTTCTTCCTCCGGAAAACCTGGACGCTGGGAAAGGATATCATGGCGGTGATTAAATGGTCTCCAAACTTACATCTGGAGGAGGACTCCCCTATTGTTCTGGTCTGGATCACTATTCCCAACCTCCCTATTCATTTGCATGATCAGAAGGCACTCTTGTGCATCACTTCAGCGTTGGGTAAACCCTTGAAAGTTGATAACGCCACCCTTAACTTTGCTAGACCTAAAGCTGCTAGGGTTTGCATTGAAGTTGATGTCTCTAAATCTCTCCATCATTGTATTCATGTTAGACATACATGTAGATGAAGATCTTTTCTTCCAGGTTCTTTATGAGGACCCCCCCTCCTTTTGCTCTTCTTGTCATAGGCTGAGTCACACTTCTCTTTCATGTAAACCGGATAAGCTACAGGATAAGACCGTGGTGGAGTCCATCCCCCCATGAAGGATAAGGGCAAAGGGGTTTCTAATGATTGGACCACTGTTCATCGTAAGGGAAAATCTTTGAAAGCAATAGTCACATGGGTTCAGAAGCCCACCACGTTACAAGAAACTCCATGCATGCCTTGTCATGAGGATACTCTATACATGCCATGCGATGAGGAAACTTCTAAAGCTGGGGCTCGGCGTAGGCCGCAAGTTCATTTCATTGGGTCAAAGGAGGTGCTTTTCTAGATACCAATGGCCTTGCCCATTCCTCTTGTGATCCTTCCATTCCTGTGGTTGAGCTCACTTCTGGGCAGAATGTTTCTCTTGATTTGGATTATGATGTTTTGAACTCATGCACCTCAGATCCCACATCTAGTCAAATTGGCATGGACCTTCCTCTTTGTGATCTCCAAGTGGATATCCCTGTCAAGAAGACTTCTTTTTCTGCTTCTCCCTCTCCTCAGAGAATTCGTACACGTTCAGACTATAAAAGGTCTGTTGATGGGGTTTTCCAAGCCCTGAAATGATCTGCACTCTTTTTTGGAATGTGAGGGGAGTCTCGAAGAGGTGCAAGAGACTCTCACATTTAAAGAAGCACCATTCTATTGATTTCCTTGTGCTTATTGAACCTTTTGTTAATGCTGAGAAGGGAAATAACCTTGCCTTTATGCTTGGCTTTAATGGTTTTCTTTCTGTAGCTAATAATAAAATTTGGTTCCTTTGGGACCAATCCAAATTTGAGGTTCTTGATGTGATGGATCTTGGTCAGATTACACATTTCAAATTGAGGGATAGACTGAATAATTTTAGCTTCACCATTAGTGGCATTTATGGTAGTCACATTACTGCTGAAAGGAAAGCTCTTTGGAATCATATTCAGGCTTCTAATAATAGTTCTCAGCTTCCCTGGTGTCTAGGGGGAAACTTTAATTCCATTTTAGATCTCCTTCACCATAAAGGAGCTAGACCTCCACACCTTGAAGGCATTGATGATTTCAATAGTTGCATTACAAATTGTAATCTCCTCGATTGTAATTTCAAATGATCTCCTTTTACATGGCATGGGGTACGTAGTAATGGTAATGTTTGGAGATGTCTTGATAGGGTCTTCTTCAATGTTGGCTGGGCTGATTAATGGGACACCTTGTCCATGCATCACCTTACCAAAGGAGGAAGTGATCATTGTCCTATTCTCTTTAGCTCCAAGCCTGGTGTTAGGGATGGTCCTAAATCCTTTAGATTTCAAAATATGTGGCTTTTAAGGGATGACTTTATATTACTTCCTCCGTCCCACTATATTTGTCCACTTTTATTTTTGCACATCATCCAATACACTTCTTTAATCCATTTTATCTTGTAATTTGTATATTAAAAAATGATAGAAATTATATATTAATAATCTATATGTTAAGACAAATCAAACAAGATCACGCATGACTATATTTAGGCTTACACATTGAGAGAATTTGATGAGTCAAAGTGCTTAGATGAACAGTTCCAAAAGTCAAAAGTGGACGAATATAGCGGGACGGAGGGAGTATTCAATTTTTCAAGGATAGTTGGGAGGAAGTTCCTGTGTTTGGCAGTTCGAAAGATATAATATTCAATAAGAACTCGAGAATTATGGTCTTTATTAGCTTGATTCAGCTTGAGGATCCCAATTTGGATCCTCTCTATTTATACATGATTTTCAAGTAATTAAGGTAGTTCACAATTAGTGGAGACTCACCCGCCAATGGCTTGACCCCCTTTTCCCGGCTATATCTTCGTTCCCAGCTGAGTTTCTTCCCTGATTCGGGCTCTTTCAGCTGTCTCCTTGTTGGATTAGTCCAGGCCTAACCTCTTGGGCCAGCCCAGAACTGATGCACATCCGCTCTAGTGACCCAGTGCCATTCGGGCGCAGTATTTGGGCCGCCCGTTGGGTATCGACCCATCATAACCAAAACGGTATTTTTAGATAGTTTAAATCTAGATTATTTCTAATGGTAAATAGTATGGATTTGAGTGTATAGATGTGGGTGATATTAAGGTCCTAGAATCGGTCAGGCGCCCGGGGATCACTCAACCCGTGTGTCCGGAACCAGAAGAGTATTTATACCCATAATGGGAAAGGCCACACAACAAATTCTGAACCTGAAGAGAAGGGCGCTCGGACCCAGACTCAAACAAGGGAAGTCTTATCAAGTCTATCTCTACGGAGAACGACTCAGCTAGGATGGCATGAGGATAAAATAATAATGGTTGAAAATAAGGGATGACACTATTATCATATAGTCATTAGTTAGATGAAGGATGTTGCTTTTTTCTTTGATATGGATTTATTTCCATTAGAGATACTCTTTTGATAAAATGATGGAACAATAATGAATTATCAAATCTATAAATAAAGTGTCAACTTTTATCACAAGTGTACCCGACCCCGATACGACAACCCAACATGTCTAAATCTAGTATACAATTGCAAGACCCATGGGATAAATTAGTTTAAGGCAAGATAAACTTTTTTTGAGGGCACATGTATGGAACACTATGGAGTGGTCTGAACTCGGTCCATTGATAGGACTAATGGTGGCCCATACCTATTAACCAAAGCTAGAGGGCAAGAACTTAAGTAAATCCAAGCTCCAAAGTTACCCTAACCAAAATAAATAAGAACCTAGAGTCGCCCATGCTTGAATTAAATTTGGATTTAAAATATTCTTTTACTCTCTATGAATTATTGTAAATACGTTTTCGTTAATTGTTTGATGAAATAAAATAGACAAGAAATCCCCTAGGTAGCACTATAAAACAACCAATATTACACAAACAACACTTCTTTATTTTTTGACTTAAATGGGAATTCCAACATGAAGGCATACCAATTATACCCTTTTAATAATTTTTATGACTTCTTTACTTTTAGGAGTTGGGTTATTCTCTTTCCATGAATGTAGCAGGTAATTAAGTTTTATGCATTTTTTTACACAGCCATGTCATTCAAACTCTCTATGACGGTAGTGTGGTGGCAATGATGATTGTGTGACTTGGGTGGTGGTGATCGTGATGATATTTTGGTAATGACAATGACAAGTTGGCGAGATAGTGGCCATGAGGTGGCAGGATTGGAAGTATGGTGTGGCAGTGGCAGTGTGGTGGTGGTGGTGATGATGGTAGTGGTGACAGTGATGACGATAGTATGGCGGCGGGGATTCAGTGTGCTGGTACGAGAGATAGTGTGGTGGTGGATGATTATTGTGCGACGGGGACGTTGATGTTGTTCATAGTAGTGTGACAGTAGATGGTAGCAGTGTAGCGGGTGTGACATTGGTGGTGTCCGTGTGGTGACGGTGGTGGTGGTGACAATGATGTTAGTGTGGCGGCGGAAGGAGACAGTGTGACAGCGCATGGAGACATGGTGGAGGTTGTGCAGTGTGGTAGCAAAGGGTGCAGTATGGTGGTGGTGGCGGGGGGGAGGGAGTTAGAGGTGGCAATAGGGGGAGACAGTGTGGGGGTAAGGGAAGGCAATTGGTAACCCAAATTAATATAATTTTAGGAATTAATTTAAAAAGGGTAGAATGAGTGTATTAAAGATAATGTCACGCTGGATACTCCTATTGATGTAAAAATGTCATTGCGGTGCTAGATATCTAACATTATAGTGCTACATAGGGAAATATCCCAAAATAAATGTATCACTATTTGTTTTGTATATTTTTTGTGTTGTTTTAAATATATAAATTTTACTATTTATTTCTATAACAATTTTAAATAAAATCATTTTAAAATAGATGAGATATAGCACGTTGTTTGAAAAAGAATTTCCATTCGTCCACAAATTTTCATCCCGTTTATTATTCACATTGTCAAACTTTATTCACTTTATTTGTCTATTTTCGTTCCCCATTTGATAAAATAATATAATCATGTAACGTCTACTTTTGTAGATATTTTAGTGCAGTTTTTAAATACTATTCACTCCGTCATAAAACTATATTCTAGATGACCTAGTTAATGATTAAACTTTATTTAATTTATTTATCTATTTTCATTAGTCATTTCAGAAAAGAATTTAGATATCCTCTTGTTTTGTAGAACTTTTGATGTGATTTTTAAATATATAGGTTTTAGTTTTAGATTTTACACGTATAATCAAATAAATTAAATTGAAAATAACTTCCGTCCACAATAATTTCACAATATATAGGTTTTATTTTCTAATTTCACAATAATTTTAACACACTTTGTTTAAATCAAATTTACTTTAAATTAAATTCATTATTTGTATTCAAATATAATGATTTGAATACACATTATTCAAATTCAAATATTAGTTTTGATTCGAATATGAAACAAATACAAATGCAAATAGGAGTATATTGGATTCAAATGATATTCGAATATTTAAATATATGTATGTACACACAAACCTTGTTTCAATATCAATTGTCAAGCAAACTAATATAGTAAAAAAAGTATTTAAATTACTAAGAATTCAAAAAATGAACACAACACAAAAATCTAAAACATTTAATTTATAATAGTTATACTTTATAAAATATAATTTGTGTAAGATAAAAATGTATTGATGTTTTTAGATATATTATAAGAAGTATTGAAAGTTAAAATTTTCAAAATCTATGTTCGTCCATCATATAAATTACAGAGTATGATTATTAAAATATTCTTTTAGGATTTGCTAAGTATTTGAATATTAATCAAATACAAATTCAAATCTTATTTTTAATTCGTCTCATATTCGGATTTGGATTCGTATTCTAAAAATTTAAACAAATATAATTTCAAATATCTCGATATTCACTTCGATTCGGTTCGTTTACACCCCTACTCCCAGTCTCATTAATTCTTTACATTCCGCTTTTCGGATGTCACTAGAAAAGAAACAATACTATATTTTTATTTTAGCAATAAATATGTGGCTACCAATAATTTTCTCTCATCTAAACAAATTCTAAACATATACTCCCTGCTACCTAATAAATTGTTTGTAACATTTTCAAGGGCGTGCAAAATATCATTTCTTTTAATATCATTTTATTTATAAATTAGCATAGAAATAAAAGATAAAAATTACATCGCTCAAAAGTACATCAAAAATTTTACAAAATAAAATGCGACAAGATTATAATATTTTGTTTAATCAAATTAAATAGTCAACCAAAATGAGTAGACAGACAAAAACTATCGAGAGGTTGAAGTAGTAATCATGACATTTTTTTGGGACGGATGAAGTATTGTTTAATTTTACTTTCCCCAACTTTTTATATTGTCAAAGTGTTAAAAATTTTAGCAATAAGTTATTTGTACCTCAAATTATACACTACAAGTGTGTACCCTTATTTTGTGTTAATGTGATTGTTAGAGTTATCCCACATCGGAAGTTGAATAGAAAAGTTATCGGTATATAAGGTCTTGAGTTGAACTAAGTAATCGATTGGATTCAATTTTTTAATGTGGTTCAACCCAAGTGTCTTATTACCCAATCCAATTGTCCATGCTCATCCCAAATTTTATCATGGTATCAGAGCTAGTTTTAGCCCACCACGTTTGTCAAGGTGTCCGTCTAGATGTTCATTCCTAGCGGCCCGTTTGTCTTTAGCCCAGTGGGAGTTCATTTGCAAGTGGTCAACCGGTTAGATTCAAAATGACCCGGTTGTCCACTTGAGGGAGTTATCCCACATCGGAAGTTGAATAGAAAATTTATAAGAAACCACCCTCCATAGCACTCTAACTCATCCTAAATTACGCATCTAGCACTACTTATTCTTTTAAACAAATCTAGCACTTTTTAGTGTCAATCCTTTACTATCATGCCCTTTTAACCTTTTTCCTTAAAAAATTACGCCACTCCCTCTCGCGCACGTACTCTTCATCGGCGCACCTACTCTGTTCTTCATCCCCCCTGATCATGCATCCTCAGGCCTTCTCCCACGATTCCTGCCCCGATCAGCAGCGACAATCATCAGGTTATCTCGGATTCCTTCACCGATGTGGCTAATCATTTTCTCTTCTCCTTCAATTTTTAATTTTTATATTTTCATTCCTTCACCCCTTTATTCGGATTTCCATGTATTTTTAGTTTTAATTATTGTGTTTTCTTCGTACTAAAGATTAGGTGTTGTGAAATCAATTTTGAAATACCTAGTATTTGTCCCTTTTGAAAAATTAGGTCTCTTGAAAGACATTGTGTTTTTGGCAGTGTGATTTTGGCACTGTCAAGATTAGGTGCTATGGTGTGGGCAGTGTGAAGNTCCTTCACCCCTTTATTCGGATTTCCATGTATTTTTAGTTTTAATTATTGTGTTTTCTTCGTACTAAAGATTAGGTGTTGTGAAATCAATTTTGAAATACCTAGTATTTGTCCCTTTTGAAAAATTAGGTCTCTTGAAAGACATTGTGTTTTTGGCAGTGTGATTTTGGCACTGTCAAGATTAGGTGCTATGGTGTGGGCAGTGTGAAGATTAAATGCCTAAATGTTGTCCTGCATTTTTTGTTTTATTTATTTTCTATTTTTCTTCGTAGAGAATGTTTAACATAGTGGCATATGTAAATTAGGCAGTGTATTTGAAATAATCAAGCTGTGGCAGTGTACCTTAAACTTTGGCTTAAATTAGGCATTGCACTGTGATCATCATATACGATAGTTTCTAAGCAATGGTTTTGTGAACTTTTGGTATGATTAAGCTTCTTGATGATGATTAGAAACCATTGCTCAGAAATTTTTTCTTACCACTTGTATTAACTAGTTATCCTATTGCTTTTTCATCTAAAAATGTAAAATAAGAAACACGTTTTTTGTTCTCTTATATGGTATTTATAGTTTTAATTAATAGATTAAGCTAAACTTTGTATTATCATCACTTTTGGGACAAGCACCTAACCTTTTTTAATCATTCCTGTTGCCTTCATTTTCTGTTTTATAGGTTTGACTCAATCCATACTTGCCCTGTTGATTTTTGAGAAGGCGATCACAGACAGGCAACGTCATCATAAATCTTCCTAGAGTGTTCCGCCGGATGTTGCATCAGAGATTTGCAAACCTCCATCTTATAACAAGCGTCCCCCGGGTAGACCAAAGAAGAGGAGACTTCCATCTGTCGGTGAATTTCAAATAAGTCATAGGCGTAGAAAGCAACGATGCACACGGTGTTTGAATTTGGGGCATAACGTAAAAACATGCAAAAACCCAATACTAAATTGACACTGCATTCTTTCATATTCCGTATAATATACAATTCTCAACAATTTCCTTCATCCATTTTTGACGTTGTTTAGACACATTCTTTGTTTTTTTCCCTATTTTAATAGTTGTACTCCTTATACTATAACTTGATTTTTTTAGTAATATATAATACTTTGTCCACTTGCACCATTGAATTACAAAAAGTGAATAGGGTATAAGTTGTATTCTTTTACTTCTTATTAAATTCCTTGTGAAATGTGAAAGTGTATTACGGCAGTGAATTTTTGGCAGTGAATATATTGTCCTAGAGTAGATATATTGTGGCAGTGTATATATTCTAGAAGTGTATTTGAAATAGTAAGTTATTGGCATTGTGTATATTTTGTGGCAGTGTAAATATTGTTGCAGTGTATTCTACACATTGATTTTTTGGAAGTACATATTCTGGCATTGTAGAGATTACATATTTCAGTGTATAATTACCGTAAAAAAATCCCACGAAATAAAATAAATTCTGCTCTTTTTTTCAGAAGACTCGTATGTGGTAGGGCACTAAATTCAATCTCTAACATATTGTGGCAGTGAAGAGCATAGAATTTCTTACTTATTTATAATGTGGCAGTGAAGAGTGTGCATACATTGCAGTGTATATTGAACTTTATCAAACAAAGTGTGCAGTGACTGCCTAAAAAATTTGGAAGTGTGGAATGGTCATGGCAGTGTGACATAAAAAAAATCTCCAGCAATCCATTTCTCAAATCACTAATTAATTAAATGCCCATAAATTATTAATAAAACACATCAAAATATCATTTATACCACAAAAAAACTAAAACAAACTCCAAACCGCTAACATACGAACATTAAAATATCCAATGTATAAAAAAAAAGTCTATTGCTTTCTGGATTCTTCCTTCCTCTCATAGCTAAAAGCTAAAAGTTCTGTTGTCATTTTAACCCAGTAACCTTCCATGTCACATTACTGCACTTCATTTATGCTTAAATCCATCATTAGAAACTCTGCGAATTTCACTACAAACATACCACAATTACACCTGCATTTGTATAAAAAAATCAAAGTGAGTAAACATTTTGTACTGCCTACATTTTCAACACAAGTAAGGTCACTCTCACAAAATCATAATAGTTAACTACCACATACCCGTCGCTTTGTTGAGGACACCCATCAATTATATCAATTGAGAGCTTTTAATCTCCCATTGGCCCATCCGAGTGATTTTCATACACATTCAACATGTCAAGAAGCTTGGGTAACAATGATGATATACACGCCACGTATGGAATGATTTCCCTACTGGTCTGCCCTTTCTTTCCTTTAGAATTATAAACCCTTCTCTTCCTTCCTTCAACTTCGAGCACAAGTAACATCTAGTGGTTCCCAGTGTTCAAAGGCATATATACAAAATCACATTCACACCAAGGCTTCGCATATTCTCGCGCTAATCCTAATACCTCACTTGATAAACTTGAATTCTCAATCACAGCCTCCATTTTCACCTTTCCGATGTCTACCATCTCTTGGTGCGTCTTGAGTCCTTGCGTGCAAAAAATATGGTGACGCTGTTGTGTATGTCTGGATCAAGCTGTATTGAATGCTCTTCAATTCAAGATAGAACATCGCAATCTCTATATGCTGAAATAAAAAAAACAAACCCCAATTATGGTATTACATAACACATATTGTATGCTCCTACAAGCGCAATCATCACTGCTTAATATAAACCTAACCAAAAGAACACACTGCTATGTTAAAACAACACTGTCCAAAAACCTTATGCATTATGCAGTATACACTGCCATGTAACAAAAAACCAGCTTAAATAAAGAGAAACACACTGTCGAAAAACCAAAGTCTTAAGGCAGTATACCACGTCTTGTAAAACCAGCACTGCCCAAAACCTTATGGATCATCATGTTAAAAAAACTATCCAAAACAAAGATAAACACACTGACGAAATGCATATTCATTAGGCAGTGTATTTGAACTGTAAAAACAACACTAACCAAGAACCATTTCAAATAGGCAGTCTATCCCCCATTCAAAAAACTGTCCAAAATAAGGGAAACACACTACATTCACACAGCCCACACCTCCCCAAAAAAACCCCACGCTATTCCAAACTTGAATCCCATACAAATCACTCCAATGACAATACCAAGTCATAAGACCAGACATATTTTGTTCTCCAAATTCACACCCCATTAAACCTAAATTCACTACAGCTACACACTGCTACAAATATATTCATATGCCGGAAAAAAAACTTATTCTAAACTGTGTAAGAGAAATTTTATTAGAAGCAAATTCAATGCCAAAACAAAGCAAAAACATATTCTAAACCATGAATTACATCTACCATTCACAAAAAAACCTAAACGAGTTCAACAAAGCCCAAAAAAATTCAATACGTTAATCAAAAAACACTGCAAAGCTTAAAAATTAAAACACACTGCATAGAACCTAAGGGAACCCATTGCAATGAAAATAAAATGCCAAAACGTACTGCCAAAACGTACTGCAGTGCAAAATTAACGTACTGAAGAAAATTTAAAAACACATTGTAGTGAACCTTCAACAAAAACCCTCATGCCAACCGGAAAAACAACTTATCCTAAAGTTTGTAAGAGAAATTTTTTTAGAAGCAAATTCAATGCCAAAACGAAGCATACCTGTATCTTCTCCAATCTTTTGCTTAGAGGGATCTCGTCCAATGCATCTTCGCTTGCCATTGAAACCCTGGGTCTCCTTCCGGAAGCTGCTGCGTTCGGCTTTGCGTTCGGCAGAGTGACGAGGAAGCTGCCCGACGATTATCGCGTCGCGTGAGTGGGAAGATCGGCTGCTGCGCTATAGCGTTTGGCCCGTAAAGCTTTTTTTAAACCTAATTAGGAGAATTTAGTATTAGGTATTCATTTAAGGACAAAAAAGGGAATTTATCTTCAAAACTAATAGCACTGCTATTTTGAGTATTAAAGTGCTATTAAAGTGCTATTTTCGTATTTCTCCCAAAAGTTATCGGTATATAAGGTCTTAAGTTGAACTAAGTAATCAAATTGTATTCAATCTTTTAATGTGGTTCAACCCAAGTGTCTTATTACCCAATCCAGTTGTCCATACCCATCCCAAATTTTATCAGTGATGCTCGAGTGATAATTCACACAGGCACAAAATTTTAGTTTACATTTTTTATTACGCTAGTATTTTGTATCAGTGCAAACTATAAAAATATTAGTATATATTTTTTGTATAACTTTAGGTAAACTCATTGCTGTAATTATAGCATGGTTGAAAATTTTACTCCCTAGTTCTGTCCCTATATCTTTTCTCTTTACGCAAAACTAAGTAAAAAACTAAGTTTTTTGAATTCATTTTATTTAAAGATTGATTTACAAATAAAAAATAAAATTAACATATTTAAAAAGTTTATCAAAAATTTTACAAAACAAAATATAATAAGAATATTTTATTTCATCAAATAATCAATGAAAACAAACAAAAAAACTTTCTCGAAATTTTTAATAGTAATTAAAATGTGACACTGACACAAAGTGTTGGTGCATTAACAAAAATTTGTACTGACACAAAGCGTTGGTGCGTTAACAAAAGTTAGTATTATCCTAACACAAAATGTTGTTGCATCCCTGCGGTGTACAAAATGGAGTACAAATCTTTGGATACAAACAGCTTTATCCGAGTAAAATTTATGAAGTGAAAATGTCAAAGCGATATAAGAGTGGATTTTATTCCATTAGGATAAAGCTACTTGTACATAGGGGTGTATACGAATCGAATCGAAGCAAATATATCACTATTCAATTCGTATTCGATTAAAGTGATATGTATTCGAATTCGGATTCGGATTCGTATATAATTCGAATTTTAGGAAACATTCGTATTCGATTCGAAATATATTTGACGTATTTGAATTCGTATTCAAATATTCGAATTCGAAAATATTAGTAATTTTTTTCTTAAAAAAAATTTCTTAAAGACATTAAATTATTATTTTATAATAATGTAAAATGTAGTAAAAATATGTTAGAATGTATATAAATTTATTTATAAATTATAATATTTGAATATATATAAATTTATTTGTACAAAAAAATTTAATATATTAAAATATGTTAAAATATGTACACAAATATTTAATATATTAGAATATTTATAAATTTATTTATAAATTGTAATATTCGAATAATTTGAATAATAAACGAATCGAATCTATTAATATTTGTATTCGAATTTGAAAATAATTCGAATCTAAAATATGATTCGTATTCGGATTCGAATTCGGATATAGCAAATACGAATTATTCTTTTCGAATACGAATCACGAATCGAATACATTTTATTTGATTTGTATGCACCCCTACTTGTACACCAAGGTTTTTTATTCCATTTGTACACCGTAGGTGTGCACTAACATTTTGTGTTGGTGTAATGCTAATTTTTGTTAGTATAATGCTAATTTACTCTTGTTAGTATAAATTTTTATTAATGCACCAATATTTTCTGTCGGTGTGAACCATCAAATTTTGGTGTAAATTTAGCATTGTCCATACTCCATGCCACTATTATCCTCCTTCCTTTCAACTTTATTTCTGAGTTCTGACTTGTATGTACCACCACTTTCTCTCTCTCTCCTCTTCCCAAATCCCAACTTAGGATCTTATCTCCATATTTATTGTCCCTGTTTCCTATCCCCTGACCCCTATAGCTAGCTCCTATATTAACCGTTCTTTCCCTTCGTTTTTTGATTCTTTCCCCTTTCGGCCTGGCCCCCATTCATTCATTTCATGTCACCTAAATTACCTGCTTCTTCGCCTCCCTCACCTCACCCCTGAAGCTGCTGCTGCTCAAGTTCCTTCCTTCAACGCAGTATGGCTCGCTCTTTTATTTTATTTTTTTCTTCTTCGCTTATTAGCATACCTACTTTTTCTCCTCTCTTTTCATTTGTGTTCTTGGAATTGGAATCTACTTAGTGTTAGAGTTTTTTTTATCTTTTCCATGCCCTACAACCACAAGAACTTTTGCTTGAATTGATTACATCGAATTTAAAAATCTCGAGTTCGAATTTCATTGCCAACCAAAAAAATTTAAGAAAAAATTGATTTCACGTGTAAGGTTTGAGCAAAAATAAATCTTGTCGATCTTCACTTGAATGGGTGCATTGGAGTATAAAATATTTTTGGGATTTAATTTGCTAAGGATACCCGAGGTGAATGTCTGTGTGTCTGTGAGAAGGATAGTGTATACTTGGGGGACACTTAGTTTTCTAGTGTAATTTTTCATTTTTTCTAATTAGTTCTTTATTTTGTGAGGGGTTAATCCCATATCTACCCTTATTAATTACAGGGTATTAGTTACGAAGTATTTATCACATCTTATTTTATGTTGTTGCGGGATAAAGCAAATTTAGATGGGAAAGTAAAATTCAAATTACACTTCCCTTAAATAATCTGCATCAATTTTATCAAATGTGAAAAAGTTTTTTTATACAAAGGAAGTACGGAGTACTAGTTAAGAGAAAGATAAATGCTAGAGTCACAAACATTTCGGTCACAAAATGTTTGTGACTCTAGCATTTCTCACTAGTTAAAAGTGGAAATGTTTGCAATTAGTAATGATGTTTTGGAGCATTTGTTAGGGTATGTTTGGTTGGAGGTAGGTAAAAGTTTTATTAGGTAGGTAATGGTAGGTAATTGAAGGTAGGTAATTGAAGGTAGGTAAAGTAAGGTAATGAGTTAAAAAATTGTGTTTGGATGTTTAATAGGTAACGTGAGGTAGGGAAAGAATAAAATTACTAAAATATCCTTATGGTTGTTTTTTCTTATTTCTTTAAGATGTATTTATATGACTACAAATCCACCGAGCCAGAATGCCATCTCCAAGGAAAAATTCATATTGAAAAAAAACAAATAGCTAAAAAAAATTGAAAAAGAAAACAATATATTTCAATAAATATTGAAAAAATAGGTAAAGAAAAGGCAAAAAACATAAAAAATGATATTAAAATACATAGCAAAAAATGGAAAAACAGCTAAAAATCAGGGAAAAACATAAGAAAAAACGGCAAAAAAATAAAACGAAAAAAAAAAACACAGCAAAAAACCCCCCAAAAATTATTAAAACAAAACCGGAAAAAACATAAAAAAAACTAGAAAAAACAAAGCATGTTAATACAATAATTAGAAAAAAACACAAAAACAGAAAAAAAAAAAAAAAGCAAAAAAAGGGAAAAAAATTGAGACCTCACCTTATGGCAGGGCCAATCGCAGAAAGAAATCAGCGGCAGAAATTTTACAAGGAAGCAGCGGACAATCGGCGATGGGAGAGGAAGCACTCGCAGGAAAAAAAGAGAAGGGCAGAGCAGCGGAACAAAAAATTCTACCTTGGTTGCCCGCCTTTTCCGCGGATCCAGATTTTACACTGTTCTGCGGTCACCATACCTCGCTCCACCTCCTCTTACCTTCCTTAATTTTTTCTCCCAAACAAGGTAAAGATTGAATTTTACCTCATTCTACCTCACCTTACCTCAAACCAAACACAACGTTAATGTTTCATACTCATTGCGTCCCAAAAAATAAATGCTAGTTACTATTTACAATTCAAATTAATTCTACTTTTTTTATATTTTTATGGATAATTTAACAAAAAATTTAATTTTGTCACTACTTGTTTTTTAGAACGTTTGATTTAGTTTTCTAATGTATAAATTTTATTTTTCCACACCAATTTTAATTATATTGATTTGAAAATAATTTTAGTTCAACATCGTAACACGTAACACGGACAAGGGCCTTATTTTGAGGCGGATGGATCGGAGTAATTGACACCAAAATGATTAAAGATCATTAGATTAATATTTTTCTAGTTTGATGCATCGAATCTACAATCTTAGAAATGCAATTTGCACTTCGGAATTGAGTGTCCCCAACAGTTCACAATTTATAGAATAGAATATTAATTGTGGAGTTCTTCTGTTATGCATCTTGGGTGGGTCCCAAGTAAGCATTCTCACATAATTAAATTACTCTCTCCGTTCCTAAATTTATCCCACATTTCTCTAACGAAGTAAAAATATCAAATTTTTTCAATTCATTTTATTTACATATTGGTATAAAAATAAAAAATAAAATTTACATATAAAAAACTACATGAAAAGTTCTTCGAAATAAGAGGTGAAAATATAGAAATAAACAAAAGTTCGCGCGACTGCTGGAAAAACAAATGTGAGATATATTTAGGGAGGGAGGGAGTAATTGCTTGTAAAAAAGTTAAAATAGTCACAAATTTACCGGTATTTTTAGCTTTATGTGAGAAGAATAATGTCAGCCTGGGTGCCCTACCCTAAGAATTTGTCAATTAGCCATAGTCATGTTTTTCTAATTTAGGTGTCCCAAAGAATGATTCGTTCATTTCTGCAAAGAAATTTCATTTTACATTATTTCTATTTAATTTATTCTGTATAAATCTCAGTCATATATTATCACTTTTTCTCAAATTTTGTTAAAATCAACCCAGTACATTTATTTAGGGACAAAAGGATCAGAATAAAATTTGGGTTTGTAATCAGATTCGAAATTGTAGAAATATGCGTGCTTTTTCTCGTAGGTATTATTATTAGCCCACAATCCTGTCTTGAAAAATCATGCCCAAAGTGTTCTTTCCCGTAACATTTTCCAGGGACAAATTTGTTAGGATTAAGCTATGTGTACTCTAACATTTATACCTCAATTTATATCCCGCGGGTTTGCACCGACATTTTGTGTTGGTGTAAAACTAATTTTTGTTAATGCATCAACACTTTGTGTCCGTGTAAATTTTTATTAACGCACCAACACTT